GGCAGAAGGATTGCATGGAGGGGATTGTAACCATGGCAATGAGATGATATACAATAGAATGAATGTAAAACCAATGTTCTCCCATGTAAACTATCACATAATTCATAATAAAACATTTAAAAAAAAAAAAGGGGGGGGGTTGGCTGGGGTGTGAGGAGTGGGATCAGTGATGTTACAATGTGTTGATTGCAATCAAAGATGGAGGACACGTGTGTACATTGAATGGAAAATTGATCTGATTTGTAAACCTCCAACCAACTCACAATAAAAAGCTATTGTTGTATTGAAATGCCTAAAAGGGGTTCTACAACTTGCCCAGTGAAATAGGCCTCTTGCGGAGCCTTTGCAGAGTATAGGACCTTAGGTGGACTCCTGAGTCCCATCCAGAGCCTTCTGAGGTGGGACATTTTCACTAGCAAGGACAAGCAGACCAGCCTGGAACAGCTAGAGCAACAGAAGATACATCTTCAAAGAAAGACCATGAGGAAAAACCCAAAACAAAAATGTCAGCGTGACTGGCTACCACAAGAATAAGCAAGCTGTTCGCCAGGAAGTCATCAAGGCAATCAATCAAGATCCTTAAGGACAAACTCCCTTCTAAGACTGAAACTCACAATCTGCCCTTTGGTTGTTTTAAATTATGATATATTCCTGAGTGTTTTGATGTACAATCCTCTCCAACAACTCCCCCCCCTAAAAAAACCCAGAGGGAATAGAAGTAAATACTGTTGAATGATGATGCATGGAGGAGATTGTAAACATTGCAATGAAACAATGATGTAAAACCGATATTCTCTCATGTAAACTATCACTCGATCCACAATGAAAAATTGTTTTAAAAGAAAAAAAAAAAAAGTTGGAAATAGAAATATTGTATGACCCAAAAAAAAAGGCTAAAACTCAAAGGGAACATATGAGCAGGCATGTAAGCTTGGCATGTAAGCTTGCTGGCGACCACATTGGTCTACTGGTGAGTGGAAGAGGGGGAAAGGCAGCAATGAAGAAATGGGCTGAGTTCAACCATAGTCCACTGACTCCCGTTGACCTGGAGATGAGAGAAGAGGAAGGGCTGGGTGGTCCAAAGTGTAGTGAGACCTGGGGGCACTTGAGCCCATGGATAAGGACATAGCCACAGAGGACTAGAGCTGAGAGTAAAGCATCCAGCTGATATGAAGTGAGGAGAGATGAACAGGAATACCCAAATTTTCAGACAGTACCCATTTGACCTAGCCTCAATGGCTTGATAATCAGAACTCAACTAAAGGACAATTAAAAAAAAAAATTTTTTTTTAAATAAAGGAAACAAGGGTAAGTTGTTACAATTTGATGAACCTGACCTATACTCATGGTAGTAGTAACTCTAAATACCAGTAGAGAGGGAAGGAGTCTTCGTATCAAGTATCAATGCTATCCCCTCTGTACACAAGGTAGATAGGGACGGGCAACTTAGACATTGGCTACCTAAAATAGGGAGAGAAGGGCTATAAAGGCACAAAGTGACTGGCTTACAAGGTTTCATGATGGAATTTAGTTTAAGAGTGTGGGGGAAGAAAGAGTTCCCACTGAATAGTTTTCATCTTGTCTAGTTAGATCTAGTGAAAAGAGATGGGAATAAGATTCTTATGATTCAATAGTGAATAATTGTTATCATGACTAATTGCAACTGTCACAATTGTAAAGGTAGAAGTTCTGTAACAAAAACAGGGGAGTGGTTAATTTTACAGTCCAGACACAGAGGACCCTAGGACCATCAAGGGAGAAGAGCACAAGCAGAATGCGGGACCTTATCCAGAGAAACAGCAACACCTAAGGGACATGGAGAGGGAGAGCGGCTAATGACTCAAGATTCATGGGAAGAAAGGGATTGAGAGTTGGTGGTCAGGAGGCAGACTTTCAGAATGTGCCCTTTGGAGATGTAAATTATTATATATGTCTGAGTGGTTTTGTTTGTTTGTTTTTAAAAAGCTAAAGTGGATAGAGAGAAATACTGTTAACTGATGGTACATGGAGGGGATTATAATCAATGTAATGAAACAAGGTGTATGATTTGTTGAATGTAAATCTGATGATCTGCCCTGTAAACTTTCACTCAATCCACAATAAAAACCTTAAAAAAAAAGTGGGGGGTGGGGGATAGAAGTAAATACTGTTGACTGATGGTACATGGAGGAGATTGTAATCATTGCAATGAAGCAAAATATGATTTATGGAATGTAAAACTGATAATCTGCCCTGTAAACTTTCAATCCACCACAATAAAAACCTTTAAAAAAAAAAGCTATTGTTGTCTTTTAAGTAGTTAAATAACTTTTTTGTTACATATTTTTTTTTGCATTTTTTAAAGTCTACTCTGTTATTTGGGAGTGTGGTGGTTCTGTAGAATAAGCACTGGACTACTAATTACAAGGTTGGTAGATCGAGCCTACCAGTCTCTCCAGAGAGAAAGATGAGGCTTTCTGCTCCCGTAGAGATTTACAGCCTTGGAAACCTTATACAGGGTCACTATGAATCAGAATCAACCTGACGGGCACACAACGACAACAACTACAGTAACTGTGTAATTAGAAGTCAGAATAGAGGCGACCCTTGACTGAGGGCTGGTACATTGTTTAGTTCATCTGAATGTTGGTTGCATAGATGAGTTCGGTTTATAAAAACTCTGGATAGAAAAGGACATTCTGACAGTCTCAATGGGAGTGAAAATTACTACAATTGATAAAAGTTTGGACCTAGGGAAATGGTTATTAGGAAAGTACAATATATATAATATAGTAGTTGAAAAGGATCAAAAGAAAGAAGCTCCCATATATGTAGAAATGGAATTGCACAGGATTTTATCAAGATGACCATTTTTATGTATTTTTTATATATGTTAGATTTCGGAGGCCTGGGGTGGCGCTGTAGGATAAGCACTGGACCAGCAAAAACCGGTTTGAACCACAAGATCGGCGGTTCAAACTCACCAGCCGCTCTTGGGAAACCCTCCACAGGGTCGCTAGGAGCCAGAGACGACTCCATGGCACTTCACAACAACGTGAATAGCTTTTTAGCACAGAAAATGATAACAGGAGAATATCTGTCACGGAAAATTCTCCTCTCCGCCATAGACCTCAGATTTTGCCTGGGATCCTGAAGCTCTACCCCAGATTGTGGGGGTCAAAAAGCCCCTTACCTCCGACACCAATCTTCTGCCGGGAGATGTAGGACTCGAAATTCAGGCGGAAGCGGTTCTCGCCACCCAGGCGGCCGTGGGTGCCATCGTCCACGAGAAAGAAGGCGGAGTAATTGTAGTCCAGGGGAAACTGTCTCCTGGCCGCCTGGCCCTGGTCCTCGGGGTTGCTGCGCCACGGATACCTTGCAGGGAAGGAGCCCTGGAGACAAGTGATCAGACCAGCGGGTCTGTCAATCAAGGGGTACAGGCACCAGTCTTGTCCGCCCCCAAGAACTTGAGTCCAGGCCCCCAGCCCCCTACTCCCTTAGGCCTAGGATTTGGAGGTCCCCACAAGTCCTTCTCTGGTAGCATAAGTGGTTACGAATCGGGCTGCGAACCTCACGGTCAGGAGTTCGAAACTACCAGCTGTTCCACGGGAGAAAGATAAGGCTTTCTGCTCCCGTAAAGATTTACAGCCTCAGAAACCTTATACAGGGTCGCTATGAGTCGGAACCGACTCCACGGCACATAACAACAACAACACAAGCCCTTCTCTGGAGTCCTGATGTGGCGCTGTGGGTTCATGCGCCAGATTGCAAAACCGTTTGAACTGCAAGGTTGGCGGTTCAAGCTCATCAACTGCTCCTCGGAAACCCTATGCAGGGTCGCTATGGGTCAGAACAGACTCGATGGCACTTCACAACAAGCGCTTCTCTATTAGACCCAAGAGTCGGGGCTCTGGGACTCCTCCAATCTCAGACCTAGGTGTACTGATCCCCTTGCCCCCACCTCCCTCAGACCCTTAATCCCACCTTGGGGTTGAGAAGGGTGTCTCTGTTCCGGACCACGCCCCAGGGGGCCACGCCCATGGCTACGACCTTGCTGCCCCCGGTGCTGGCCGTCTGGTGGTCCCGCACTGCCACACCAACATGCCGACCAATGCCCTTGTGCAGCCCGCCTGTGACAATCCAGGCCCCTACGGAGGAGAGAGGCAGAGTGTGGTGGTGAGGGTCAGACACTCAGAGACATGTCAAGACGAAGGAAGAGACAGACACAAAGACAAAGACAGACGCTGAGCCATGGGGGTGAGAAACAGCCCCCCAGAGGAGTGGGGTGGGGGATGCAGCTCACAGGGAAGTGGTCACCTGTGCTCTGGGCAGCCCGCACCAGCCCTCGACGCAGCAGGTCCTGCAGCCAAGTCTGGAGGACTGGTTCCCCGGAGCCCCCCAGCACTGACACCACCAGGTTCGGGGCACGAAAGCCCCATGTGCTTGTGACCAGATTATAGGCAGCTGCTGGATCCGTTCGGTCAGAGAGACGAAGGAACTGTGGACACACGCAGGGGAGGAGACATGGAGAGAGGGCGGACAGAGACCCAGAGACAAGGGACAGAGAGTCAGAGAGACGGAAAGGACAGAGACTCAGAGGAGAAGGATAGAAACCCAGAGTGTGAGAGAGGAACAGACCCAGAAAGAGTAGGGAACAGAGACCCAGAGAGAGAGGGGACAGAGAACCAGAGAGAGAGAGGGAAGAGAGACCCAAGAAGCCACAGAGGCAGGGTTGGGCAGTGGCTGAGGCACCCCAGACTGTGGGACCCCTGAAGCATGACAGCCTGCAGTGCCCTTTCTAGCCCCGGTGCTCCCAGACATGCAGCCTCACACTGCTAGGCTTGCGGCCCGCGCCCAGGAAATCCAGGTCCCCATAGGCATCAGTGGGCTTCTCAGTGGTGTGTGCGTCGCCATCCCACTCGGTCACCACGGCCGCTCCAAATGCATCCTCCACAGCCACTGAAGGATGAATACTTCGGGAATTCCCACACTGGCACAGGGTCCCTCTGGAAGGGAGGGAGGGGACTATGAAGCCCAGGGGCTTTACCCCAATCAAAGCATCCTGTAGAAGTGTCTTGATTTTGTAGAGGGGGCTTTTTATACTGACCATGGCCTCCCAGGGGCAGCTACACCCCATTCTGAACCTGGCATAACCCAGAGAAAAGGGGACAGAGACCCAGAGAAAGAGAGAGAGGGGGGCCCAGAGAGATGGGGTGGGACAGAGAACCAGAGGGGGAGACCCAGATAGAGAGGGGGACAGAGGCTCAGAGAGAGGGGGGCAGAGACACAGAGAGAGACTTAGAAAGAAAGGAACAGAGACCCTGAGAGAGCGGGAACAGAGACTCAGAGAGAGAGGAGGGCAGAGACCCAGAGAGAGGGGGACAGAGACCCAGAGAGAAGGGACAGAGACCCAGA